AATTATGTATGCAGTATGATAAAAAATACTGAATATTTAAATTTAAAAAATTTTACTACGTAAAAGACACATTGCCATTAATCCCCCTCAAAGTACTCCTCCCTTGCTTCACACTTATCCCATTGTTCTTGCCACTTTCTGAAGCGGTTCTGGAAGTCCTCTTTCGTGAGTGTCTTTAGTTGTGCTGTTTTGGCTGCCTCGATGTCCTCAATTATTTTGACTTGGAGAAAGAGCCAGAAGTTGCACCCAGTGAATAAGGTGGATGAGGACACACTGTAATGTTTTTATTTGACCGAAATTGCCGTACCAGAAGTGATGTGTGACATGGAGCCTTTCCGTTGGCGATCACAAAATACGGTGACTGCTGCTGCCAAGTGCCATCCAACGGAAAGGCAGGGATCTTCACTATGGGAAGCAGGAAGTAGCACGTCATACCTTAGTAACTGTGTGACAAGTTTCAACTTATTCAGTGCAGTCAGTAGGGTGTGAGCTACGGTTGAGAGAAGGTGTGTTTAAAGTGTGCCATAAATCATCCTCCATCATGACAATGCTCCATGTCATACATAGCTTCTGGTATATGGGAATTTCTGTCAAATAAAAACATTATGGTATGTCCTCATCCACCTTATTCACCGGGTCTGGCACCGTGTGACTTCTGGTTCTTCCCCAAAGTCACAATGATTCAGGACATCGAGGCAGCCATGACAGCGCAACTAAAGACACCCACAAAAGAGGACTTCCAGAATTGCTTAAGAATGTGGCAAGAACAATGGGATAAGTGTGTTCGAAGTGAGGGCAGAGTATTTTGAGGGCGATTAATGGTAATGTGTCTTACCATAATAAATTTTTTTTAATTAAACATTTATTGTATTGTTTGATCACACCTCGTATTTGGGGCCATCCCACATATTCAGTTTATTTACTGCCTACTTCAATTAATTCCTTGCATCATTAAAAATTTCTTACACACCAGTTTTTATTTTTTATTTATTTATTTATTTATTTTTTAATTTTTTTTTAGCTGAGCCATCCTGCCACCTGTTGGCAGCTCAGTGGCTGCTCAGCTCAGGCAGGGACTCGAACCACTGTTGCTCAGAGCTCAAACTCTTGAGCGAGCTCTTAACCAACTGAGCCACTCGGCTGGCCCTTACACACCAGTTTTAATCACTACAGAATATTCCATTTTATGGAGATACTATAACTTATTTAAAAATGGAGAAATAATATGCAGTGATGGTTTAAAGCTTGGATTCTGGAACAAGAGTGTGTGTGTGTTCAAATCCTGGCTCAGACAGTTACTATGCAAGTTACATTATATTCTGAGCCTTAGTTTACTAATCTATAAAATGATGATAGTATTTACATTATATAATTGTCTTGAGGATTAAGTTAATTAGACATGTTATGAAGATTGAATGAATTCTTGTAAAGTAGTGAACTCTAATGTCACCTGAAGAGCTTGTTAAAATACAGATTCTGATTCAGTAGGTCTGGGTGGGGCCTGAGATTGTGTATTAAGCTCCTAAGTGATGTGCTATACTTGGTGTAGCAAGGAAGTAAAGTACTTAGAATCTCTATGTATAACATCAATAAATGTTAAACCTATTTGGGTTGTTTCAGATCATTCAACAATTAGAAGTAGTAGTGTGATGATTAACTTTTGTCCATAAATCTTTACATTGTTGATTTTCCTAGACTAGGACCTAGAAATAAGATTACTGGGACTAAAATTATACCATGTTTTTCTAAATCACCCATGACTTCCTTCTTTCCATACTCTTTCAGTCATGGAATTATCATTTAAGAAAAACTGAAGGATTACTAATTTATAGAATTTTAGCCCTTAAGGGAATCTGAGAGAGATCATCTTCTAGAGCAAGGGTCGGCAAACTTTTGAGACAGAAGAGCTG